CCGGCAGCTTGTACAGACCAAAGTACTACTGGTAAGTACTAATACCACACTCGATCAATCAAGGAATCAGGCAGGCAGGCAGGCAGTCAGGGAATCAATCTGTCCGTCTGTCGGTCGGTGAGTGAGTGAGTGAGTCAGTCCGTCAGTCAGTCAGTCAGTCAGTCAGTCAGTCTGTCAGTCAATCAGTCCGTTAATCAATCAATCACTCAATCAATCAATCAATCAATCAATCAATCAATCAATTAATCAGTCAATCGATCGATCGATCGAGCGATCTATCAGTCAATCAGTCAGTCAGGCAGTCAGTCAATCAATAGATCAATCGATCAATCAATCATTCATTTAGTCCGTCCGTCCGTCCGTCCGTCAGTCTGTCAGTTAATAGATCTATCAATCAATTAGTCAATCAATCAGACAGGCAGGCAGGCAGGCAGGTAGTCAGTCAGTCAGTCAGTCAGTCAGTCAGTCAGTCAGTCAGTCAGTCTGTCTGTCTGTCTGTCTGTCGGCCAGTCGGTCAGTTGGTCAGTTGGTTTGACAGTCAGTCAGTCAGTCAGGTAGGCAGTCAGGTAGTTGTTTTCAAAGATAACGCCTTGACGTTGGTGTGTAGAGGGGTGTTGGGATGAGGGGTTGTATAAAAGTCCCTGACTTCTTTATCCTGTTTTGATCTTTGCTCCACTGAGTTGATCAATTCTCTGATAAGTGGTATTGATATCTTTCAGATGCCGTCGCTCGCCAGTCGATTCCAGCTCCAAGCACCAAAAATGACCAAAAAGGAGAGAAGAAATCTATTGTCAAACTTCCTCCGAAAGTTCATGTTAGATCCGAGGCACCCTACCCACACTTGAAAAAGTTTTTCCGCGCGGGGCCTGGGCTTGATGATACAGAAATTGAAGTAATTGGTCACGTGACAAAGAAGAAGAAACGAAGCGAAACGAAGAAGAAAAAGAAGAGAAAGCGACATCTTAGTGAATAGAAGAAAAAAACAACACACAATGCACTTTAGGACTCCAGAACTTCAAAATTTCATTTAAAATTTGACGAAAGACACGATAACAATTGCCGTGTTTATTCTATTATGTACAAAACTTAACGGAGGATTTCGTGCCAAAGCATCAAATTAAAGTGGAACTTCTTTAAAACGGCCACGAAAATCAAGACGTACAACTCACTAAGCTTTCGTTCGTGGCGTAGAACGTGGCTTTTATCATAAAGCGAATATATTTACGAGGTAAATATAGGTAAAAGGCGGGATTTTCACTGTAGTACCAAAGTAGGTCGTATCTGTAGGTCCAATGGGTAGGTTATGTTTCATTGACGTCGCCTTAAAGAAATCTTTGGTTTCTTTCGTATAGACTAAGAAGCCTTTTATTTCATCCCGTTATTTTCTCAGTATTTGTCCAAAGTGGTGTAGGGGACCAGGACTCTCTCCCACAAAAATACAGGGGCCTTGCTGGGCTGCAATGCATGAAAAGTAGCGCCCCAGAAAAACAGAATACAATGAATGGCGGAAACTTTCTTGAATTATAACAGCCACGCCTATAGTGATATTGTATTATTTATAATTGAATGGGATTGTTTAATCATGAACTACAAAACTGCGAAGGAAATGATGACAAAAACGACCTTTTTGTTTTCGGAGAGTGCCCAACCAATCAATATATATAAAGTAACGAAGACAAGGGAGAATTTTTCTGTATTTCATAAATTGGTCAGCGGTGGCATAAAAAAAAAAGCTTTTGACGTAAATGATTGACATTTGTGTAAAGCCGTCTCCTAGGAAACAAATTGAAACGCGCCGTAGACGTTACAAGAAACTGTAATATTGTTTCAAGTCGCAAGACAGAATTATTTTTCTTTTATCGTTAGTTATTCGTTTTACTAGTATTAACACAACTTACCGTAGCCTTAGGCCCGGTCTAAGGCTTAAAAAAATGTTATATAAATTTTATTTTGACCACGTAGTTTTCAATGGTGAGGAATAGCCGCAGTCGCAGCACGTGTGCCGGATTTTAATCGTTCAATGTCGGAATGAAAAGAAAAGCAAACCAAACTTCTTCGTTTTTTCCTTGTAAATGGCGAGTGTAAAACTCTTCGCTTTGTAGGTCCGTTTATTTTTTCTTTCAAACCATTTGCCTTTCAAATTGGGAATTTTCTGATGTCTCTCTCAGTCCGGCTTAAGACAATGGTTACAAAGAGGCGAGCCTTTGCAGTCAAACAAAATCGCACGTAACAAATCAGTAATAACATGTATCGTTTTGTAACATTATGCAGACGATTGTACTGTTGTAAAACACACGCATGGATCATAGATTATTTTTGATGTGAAAATAAACATTAAATATTCAGTATGCTGTTTGCCCAGATGTTACGCCCGTTTCCGGTGGAACTGGGTGCAGTGGACTCTGGATTGAGCTAGAGGTCTGAGTTAGAGTCTGTCTCCTCATTTGCTGTTCTCAGGCAAGCTGCGGTACTCCCAGGGGGATAATGAATACAGTGGGAGAATAAGGTGGGGATGGGGGTCTTTTGCACTAACCCTAGTCTACACACCAACGAAACATCGGATATGCGAATCCGCTAAGTTGACTCCCCGTCTTTGGTATGATGGGCCTTTTATGGTATCCAATTCGCCTTATATGCTTTATGCTGTGACATAAAGTTCCTTCTATCCCATGTCTGTCAGTGTGTTCATAACCTGTTTTAAAAACAGTCCACCTCCATTTATTGAAATAAAAAACTCCGAATCCAAATAAATTTGATGAGTTCCTTGGCCGGGACGAAACGAGCTGTGTAAGACTAGCCACGAACAATGTATTATCACGAGTAACTGTCAACTTTATTGTGAATACTAATAGTCATAGTAATCGTAATAATTATTAAAAACAGGTTGTGTGTCTTTTAGACTGATTAACGTGGAAATTAAATTTGCCACGGTTTGGTTAAGGGGGTTTTGTCACACTCCGTTGCCACGGCTAGATAACCATAACGGAGAGCCAGGGACATGCCATGACAAATATGATCTCACAAAACTATTCACTTTCTACAACTACTTCTAGTTCTTCCGCCATGCGTATAAAGGCTCAGTTCCACTAAGGAGGATAAAAGATTCAAAGCGGTTATATCTCATCGGCGACAGCGTTGCAGTTCAATTAGTACACTGTATCACACAGTAATATCTATCAGGAACCCTGAAAACAGAAAGGGAAAACAGACGTCACTAGCTGAGGTTGAATCACTCATCACCGCTTGGATTTTACATGAATTTCCATATCCTCTGTGGGGCGCCGTTTGTAAATCCATTACTTAACATAAATTGTGTCATTTTTTTCGTTATTTTGAACTGTTTCATAATATAACTAATTCTGGGCAAAAAGTAGTTATTTGACATAATCCGTTTTCTCAAAAGTGTTTTTTGATATAATCATCTTATAACACATAAAAAAAAAAAATGGTTATGTCGTATTTGTAATAACTACTTTAAGGCAAATGACGAGAATTTGGTTATTTCAGACAACCACTTTTCCAACAGTACCCGGAAACGTTTGTGTCACAAAAGTGACCCTGCAATTCATGTTAAATAACTCACTTTATTTGTAAACGGCGCCCCATAATCATCAAGGTCTTCAGTTTTCTCTCCTTTCTAACGTTGGATAGGTAGCGCTCAACTTATTCTCTCCTTTAAATCGCGAAATATCACACTTTTGATACTAGCGCGCGCATAACAACTTAGACGTTGAAAACTCCCTTGCGCGCTTAGGAAACAAACTTGTCAACCCACCGACAAGAAATACTTTGAAAAATTTGTGAGCAAGAGCCACTCCTTTTAGTGTTAAGAGTGTGTATTGTGTCAGTTGCGTGTTTGCCTATTTTTTCGTTAGTTAACTTTACCAATCAGTGTATTGTATGCTCCAAATTGTACCGGAGTGATTATTTATTGGTCAGTAGTTTGTGACGGACATAAAAAGTTACAGCAGTTTTGTTTTGTTTTTGTTTTGTTTTTTGCCGGTTCTGATATATTTTTCCACCTGCATCTGAGTGTTTGCTAGTTAAGTCTTTGCATTTTGTCTCAAACAATAACCAAATAAACAAGAAGTATAAGATACAAGCCTGAGCGAATTGGCAGTGCTTTACCTGAGTGGTCTCCTGCACTCTCTCTTTCACTACTCTTGATCAAGGTCAGTCATCGATCAGACATGTACACAGACATTCAAAAAGGTTGCCGCAATCATCATCGCCAGGTGTTGAAGAGTCGCACTCACAAATGTTCAGCAAACAACAGATACACGAACCAATCGCATTGCCTGCAGAAAGGACAAGAAGAACACTACTACAACACTATGCCGGTGTGAATTAACGAATTAATTAAAGCATATGAATTTTCAATATTTTCTTGGTATTTTGTAGATTTGCAAATACATTTGCGTCAACTTTGAGTTGAGCCACCGCTGGCCTAAAACGCTCGCAGGCTCTGAGTTCAAGATTGACGGCGACTTTCAGCTACTTTCAGGTGTCGTTCGTGGTCAAGGAAAACGAGAGTAAGAGTACGAGATTTGCTGCGTTTCCCGTCAACAGCAGGGTTCTGACTTACAATTTGCGCCGGCGTGATCAGGATTGAAATAGTGGCTCGTAAATGTTTACTTACAGATGTCGCCGCAGGCTGAGCTCCAAACTAAACAGCAGTTCCGCAGTTCAATGCGCCAGTCAACGCTCTCTTGCCGTGCAATGCGCGGTGCAGGTCGATCTACAACATCGATCGCGCGGATGTCGTGGAAACTTGCTGACTGGTCTCCTGTCGGGGAGTACCCTACCTGGGGTGGTGGATCAACTAGCTCAGCTGGGAGGTATCCAGGTTGCGGGGGTTCATAAGGCGGGGGAGTTGCCTCACTGGGACCTTCTTGTGTTGGCGTAGATTTTTTAGAAGTTTCGTCAGACATGTCGTCGGGATCATCTGTCCCCGCCACGTTGAACAAACTGGTGAGGGTAACAAGAAGACTAAATTCAATTTATCACTTCAGTTCCAACTGATTTGTCGGAAATATGTATGCTGAGTTTGTTATACCGAATACGAACCTAACTTCAGACCTCCACCTAGACTACAAGCAGTGCTTCTTTCGCCGCTTAGATCGCTAAGCGTGAGGCTAAAGGTCCAGATTTCGCGCGGCCATTTTTTCTCGCTCGGCGAACTAAGCGACGAAAAAGGGACTGCTCGTAGTCAAACCTCCACACAATCATACGTATTTTCCTCGAAGTAAGATAAATAATGATAATTTCCTTTCTTCGTGGGTAAACTCAGGTAAGAAAGGAAAAAGAGTGAAAGCCTGCTCACGAACTCTAATGTCTGTTAATTCATGCGCATTAATTAAAATATTATGGGCTTTCTGTTAGGGAATTTTTACTTTGTTTTGGAAAGTTTATCTACTGCCCATCCAAATCAGGGATAGCTTTCCACACAATTGAATACTTCTTGAGAAAATGTAAAAAAGAGACAGAAATGAGTTTCTTTTTATCAGACCTGACCGGCTTCTGTGTATGTACTGATGGAAATAGATCAGCCCATTACAGAGCCCTCAAGTTGACTGGTTGGCAAAGAGTGAGATCTGCGACGGCGTAGCCGTTGTTTGTAACGCCGCAGGCGTCACCCCGCCAGGGGGGTCTGGGGACATGCTCCCCCAGGAAATTTTGAAAAATGAGCAGAAATGTGATGCTTTAAAAGCAACTGTTTAGATCCCAGAATTTTCTTTTTATTAGACCAATATCAACTCTTTCTTAACATTCTGACTTAGTGTATCTAGAAGTCAAATTAACATGTTATAACGCTTGTTGTACATGCTGTCAGTCTGATCACTGGATCAGATCAATATCAACTCTTTCTTACACCTTTCCTAACATCTGACCAGAGAAACGCTGGTTCTGCACAAGAATAAAGTGTTCGAAGCGAGTAAAAACCGAACGAGGATTAAATTATATCATAAAAGATAATTTATTATGAAGGAACTTCACTAAAGCAGCAAGGAATCTTAAATGCGTGAGAAATAATAGTTTCAGCGTGAGAGCGTAAGATTGAATTTGTTTGCGTGAGTCTTACGCTCAATGCGTGACACTTGAGAGCTCTGCCATTATAGTCAGTGGATCGATGCCAAGAGCTTTTTTTATATCGTTCGAGTTGACCTTTGTAGTCCAACCAAAAGTGTCTTGATTACAAATTATTTTAACCCTTTTCCGATTTCAATTTTGAGTTGCTAATGGACCATTTCGCGAGATTTTCAATGATCTAATTACTAAACTAATTCCATGTGGAATAGCTCATCAATGAAACTAACTCTTCAATACAAGTAGTGTTTCGCAACCGCTGTCTTGAAACTCAAAATTCGCTTACGAGGGACTCCAAAGGGAGACTTTGACTGAAGTCAGTTCTCAAGCCGACGATTTGATGAAGATAGGCTCTCCATTCGAAAGAAGATGACCATCTGGTAATGATAGCACGTTTCAGAGCATGCTTCAAAGCACAGATTTCCGGGTCTCTGATCTCGCGGAAGGCGATGCGAACTGGTCTATTAAAAAGCGAAATCAAACTGGACTACAGTACCTTTTTCTTTGTCTTTCAGTCTTCGGCTGCCACCTCAATCCGACCCCTGATGTCCAAGAGGATATCTAAGTTGTAATTTCTTATTAGTTTGTTCAGTGATAACAATCCCTAACGACAACATGAAGCCGATACTGTCCTTTACAGCCGCTCGGGACGAAGTCACGCAATGTTGCGTGACTTCGGCATTTAGGGCTACGAACAAGACTAACATGAACAGATCGATATGAACCGAGAAATGTCGAGTTTCCTGTCTCTTCGTTGTCATGATCGAGTCACGCAAAATCCGTTCACCTGTCTGACTGAATTTTGCAACTGGTGTGAACTGGCCGGGAGTGCTAGGAAAATTTTGGCAGAAATAGTTTCTGACACTCGTCCCTCCTCTGATGGAAGAAAGAGGGAGAGTTTCATGGTCGGGAAGATCGGACATTTTCATTCAAGAAGGTTATTAAAAATCTCGGGGGAGCAGTTCGGAACAGGGAACGATTCTTTTATTATCTTGATGTTCCGATGTGTTGACCCAATAAGAAACTCGCCCCAGTTTTCACGGATGACTGAAAAATCTAAGATGGCGGACAAATGAATTTCTGTTGACACGTACATAACTGTACATGTGCATCTTTCGCAAAAGCCGAAATGCGAAAGCACAGAGGGAAAGCGAAAGAAGCTTCACACCATTACAAGTTCAGCAAGAGCTCTAGGTTTGAACATGCTTTCAACAGAACGGAAGATTTCGAGAGTTTCGAGAAGAATACAACAGGAGGTGAGGAATGTTTCGATCAAGAAGTCACGTCTAATAATTTTAAGAAGCCTTATAACTCTGTTACTTTGGCCGTCGTATGGGTAAGGGGTGAAGGATCTGAAGCTTACTGCTAAAATTTCAAACCAGATTTGTCACTTTTTAACCGCACTACCAACTGAGTTAACCGCCTGATTACCTCAGTTGGTAGAGCGCCAGTCTGCTGTGCGGGAGGTCGAGGGTTCGAGCCCTAGACCGGACCAACACTCAGGGTCTTAAAATAACTGAAGAGACTGTGCTGCCTTTGTAATCATATCTGCAAATGGTCAGACGTTCAAGTCTTCTCGGATAAGGACTATAAACCATAGGCCCCGTCCCCTGCATCCCCAGTGTTACATGGTTAGCAGGGGACGTTACAGAACCCCCACACTTGTCGAAAAGAGTAGGGGACGTAGTTCCCAGTGTGTTAATCTATCTCTATCTCTAGCTTCATCTAACATTTCATGTATGGGCTGGGTGGGTGACGTGGGTGAGATCAACTATGGACTGATAGTGGCAGCCAGAGGCGCCTTGACAAGCTGATGTCCAATCTCACCCAATAGAAGAACTGTAAACCACCATGAGGCTATCTTATATGTGCACTATATAAATACATTAATAACATACATGAAAAAATTACTTGATTCTGATTGACTGAGAGCAGTGCAGTTCAAGTGTAACACCAGTGCAAAAAGTGTAA